TTGTTAGCTTACAGCTCAGTCCAAGACAGATAAATGCAGTGTGTGCTTCCTTAGACACTGAAAATAAGCTAAAAAATCAACAAGCATGGTAAAAACATCCCTTTACAACTTTATACTCAAGAAGTATCTTAGATGCTAAACATCTGAAACACACATCAACTTTGTGCATGAAGACCGTGCTGGTGTTTACACTGTGCTCTTAATCCCTGTAAAATTATTTCATACTGTGTAGATCAGTTTGGGTGTATTTTTCATCTGTCCTTAAATTGCTTAATATATTCAGACTTTACAGGCTCAATTAAGTCTGAAAATGATATACTCATTTTCTAAGCTTTTTTTTTTTCAGTTACTAATAGGTTCTAAGCTTGCCATTTTATATAATAATAAAATGTAATTTTATAGTTAGTGGACAGCTCAATATGCAATTATCTGTTTGCACAACCAATTAAGAGTTGTCTTCTCAAGACATGCCTGAGAAAATCACATTGTTCCATAAAAAGCTGCGACACCAGTTACAAGCGCTTCTAAATGTTCACCTTTTGATGAAGCTTATTTCCAGGCACTGATCAGTGTGCTAAACATTCAGTGTGATAAGATATTTTCATGTGTCTAGCTGCTGTAAACATGGAAAAAATTTGGAAAAAACATGGAAAAAGCATTTAAAGATTTTTTTCCAAGCTAATATTGAGGCCTAAATATTTTTTGGTCTTAATTTTTTATCTGGTGGCTAAGAAAGGTAAATGGTAATATCGTATTTCATTAAAGCAAGCATTGACTATGATGAATTATTAATTTAGAGATAGAAGGGCCTAGCAGCACATTGAAGAAGGCCATGAGGAGGTGTTGGCAGTGGAAGAACAAGGGTAGAGGGTGATAGTTATTTCATCTGTAGGCTGCAATGCAACTAGAGCTACTCTTAAGAAGCTGATTTTTACTGAGCTCAACCTCTGCAACATGCCCAGGAGAAGGTCTGCACAGACCTCTTCTCTGCCACGAGGAAGGCTCTGGGGAGTCTTTTTTGGGGGGAGTGCAGGAGGGGTGGAAGGTACTCACCCCAGTGAATTCACTCAGTTTCCAGTGCAGTGTTCACCTAAAATTACAACCCTGTGTTGCACCGCCTCATTTTTGAACTTTTAACTATAAGGAAGAGCCAATTCTTAACAAATAATATTTCAGTGCTTTTCTTAGACAGTTTAGGGAGGGTTCCCTTGTCAGGAACTTACCAACACACACTATTGATGATAGCAAAGGTGTGGAGAAGATAAACAGCTAAGATAAACATCATCCTTCCTTTGAACCGGTATAATTTGTTTAAACATAATGTTTTAGGTGTCTTGGCTACCTGCTTGGAGTTGCTTCTTTATTTAGTGGTGTTTCCAGTCTGTGAAGTTTGGTGTATTGAGGAAGCTGGGTCCCTGTGATGGGCTTTCTAGCTTTGTCTGCACACCAGCGTGGGGCTCTTCTGTTGGTTACTGAAATAGCATTTTCCAGAACTGGCACGACTGTCAGCAGTTCGTTTCTGGCTGTACCCTCTCTTTTCTTTCTCTATAACAATCAAGACTATATTTTGCAGAAATGCCTAAACTAACTCAGGTACAGCAGCCACAGTAACTGACTGCACTGTCACGGAAGCATAACCTGGCTGCCTGTGGGTCTTCAGCAGGCTTTAATTACACAAGGGTTTAAGATGCCTTCATATAACAAAATTAAATACATTCCTGTTAGTCTAGACTAACACAGGGGACAAATATGCCATCACATCCTAGCTTTTTCTTTTTATATTCACTCATCAATATCACACAACATCTTACCGTTTTGGAACTGAATTTGAAAGCACCAAATGAAATCTAAAAGTGTCACTAGAATTGATGGCAATTATCTTTTTGAACTCTTTTGCATACGTATATTTATATATGCATGTCTGTGTATGCATGTTTATGTATCTGTGTGTTTATGCATATATATATATTTGGAAAACAAGATAAAGCCTTTGTTTCTGGTATGTCTCTAATCCTGAATTCCTGAATGTGTTGTTTCTTGGGGCTTGGGGTTTTGTTTTGTTTTGTTTTGTTTTTAGTAAGGACAAAATAATGCCTGATAAAGAGCTTTGCAAATGCCTATTTTTCTGAAAAGGGAGTCAAGATAGTGCAAGTCAGAGGACTGACCATAGGATTGTACCTAAATCTGGGGATTTGGGCTTGATACCTTCAGCCTAGCATGACACAGGCATTCCCTCTGTGTATCTGTGCCACCCGTCTGTGCTTCGGTATTTTGGCCTTTAATACAGGCCTGTGTTCTTACAGTTGGGTCTCGGAATTTAAATCAGTGGGAAAATGGGGGAAAATATTGAAGGAGAAATTAAAAAATACTGAACAGCAGTAATACTTCTAATAAACACTTGATGACTTTTATTTTCTACAATGTGTTAAAAATGCCTGATACACTAAACTTGGAGTTTTTAAGGATTTTAAAATAAAATATGTGCATTTAGGACATTAAAAAAAGAAAAAAGCTCCATCATCATCACACTGGGGCAGCGCCTGGGTGGCTGAGCGCCAGACAGCGACCAGTGGGTTTGCTTTCCAGGCTGCACCTTTTGTTCCCCAGAGCAGCAGGGAATGGCAGCAATGCGGCAGCAGCAGTTTAGCTCCTGGGCACAATGGGATCCTTAATGCCAATTAAAAAGCAGACTTAATGAGTACCAAAAGCAGCCCCCAAGCCAGGCCTCCTTAGCTAAAAAAAGATGGGAAAGCAACATGTTGTAGGAAATGATGGAATTTTGAAAATCCCATAAGAAACAGGGGAACACCCTTTGCTTTCCCTCCCGCATCTTCAGCTCTCGCTCTGCTGAAAAGGAAGACATACGAAAGCACAGAGGAGTAACTGGTGTAACTGCCCCAGTCCGAAAGTGGCTTTTAGCTAGCTGGGGGATTGTTTGTGGTCAATGTGTTATTTCTAACTAAAATGGCACTTCATAAAAATAACAAATTGTTGGCAACCGTTGCTTTTTGAATTCTATTTCTAGTTCTGGTCTCTATTTCTGTTCCTCTCGGTTGCTTTTCTCCTAACAAATCAAACTTCAGGATTGCAGCAGGAAATTTAGATTTAACCTCAAGAGTCAATGTTTTGTCTCATGTCTGCTCTAATGTGATACAGATGTTGGAACTGCTGTACGTAACTCAAGATTTTATTGAACTAGCCCTCCCTGCCTAATAGAAAACATAGCTAACTGGAGAGCACACTAAACACAGATCATTCTGAAGGCACTAAGCTTGCAAATTTTAGAAATATATTTACAGAATACTTGGGATATTACTTTGATTGCACATCCTTCAGCTGTTTGATACAGAGTTCCTGCCATGGTAAAGAATCAGAGCTCTTTATCTTACTTGTTTGAAAAAGCAAAACCAGGAGGTAAACACATGAAAATGCAATACCTGGAATTATTTACAGGCTGGATAATATTTTTTTTTCCAGTTCTTTTTTTCCTCCTCCTTAAAAGATAACCAGATAGACTGGAGAAATAGATTATCTGTTGCATCCCTTTTCACTTCTGTTTTCCAGCAATCCTGATCTCCGCTATTCCTGCTTTTTTTAGTTTTCCTTCTCTCGAGTTGCCACTCTGGACACATTGTGCTAAACACTTGGGTATGTCTTTGATGAGGACTGAGTGGTAAACACTGATGTTTCCTGAGAGCCTGTTATGCCACATTAGCCCCAGTAGAAAGTAATCTTGAAATCCGTTCTTGCCTCTGTTCATTCTTATTTTTCCTTAGTTCTAATAATGAGATGAAAGTTTGCTACTTTTCTGTACAAACAGTAGATTGTGTTTCTTAAGTGAGATTTTTTTTTAAGGTAAAAACAGAAGGTTTACCACATCAGAGTGCTTTTCTTACCCATAACAAAATAGGAATTATGTATTAATTTAGTGCACCAAAACCAATCCTCATGCCTTATAATATAAAAGCTGGGCAGAAATATGCTACCCGGAGAAATCTCCAAGCAGCAAACAGACCAGGAAAAAGCCCTTGATACACAGAAGACAGGGAAAAAAAACCAACCCAAAACCAAAGAGCTCTGCAGGGAAACACAGAAAATGGATGTCACAGATTAAAAAAGGATTATATATATTTTCACCAGGTAGGCTGACTAATACCGTTGCTTTTTTGTTTAAACTTTGAACTTCCACTTCTTGCTGAAGGTCTTCCTTGACCCTTGGGTAGACCAACATATTTTGGATGTGGGCATTAGGTGGGGTACAGCTGGGTCTCCAAGCAGCTCTAGCGCTGCTGGCAGCTGTGTTGGTCATACCCACAGCAATGCAGATGCACACAGCCTTAGCAAAGGTGCGTTCCTTGTCATTTGTGGGCTAAACCTGAGCTCCAGAAAGGTTGCAGCTGTATTACAAAAAAATATAGTAAAAACCCTCACTCATTCAAATGATGGCCATATCATGAAAATTAATTCATTTCAGCCATTATATTGGCAAAGCAGATCATTAGTTGAACTTCAGTATATTGAACTATAAACCTGTTTGTTATTTCTCTGGTAATGTGGGCAGCACTCTTTGAGGTTGACTATATATGTTCCGTTGGAAAGCTTTCGGTGTCAGCCTTGGGTTTTTTTTTCTACAGAAACAGAGAGCAGCTCGTGCAAAATGGGGCCATGATTTTTTTTTGGGTCCAGCAGAGGAATCTGTATGACAAATAACTGCTCCTACCTACAGACTACCTCAGAGTTTTTAAAAGTCTTACCAGGCTTCTCGCTCATTACACAAGAAAATCTCTATCAGCAACTATTTCTAGCAGCTAACTTTTGGAAAAATGAGAAAGGTTTTGTCATTGCTTAAAGCCTCCAAACTCAGTTTGTATTCTGTGATGAATACAGGAATACTGAGTCATTTTTAAAATAGTGCACTAGCTCTGGTATATGAGAAAACACTGAGGTCATCAGTGTAGCATGATTGTAAATCATTACATATGAGTATTTTTCTCTTCCAGGCTTCAGTTTATTTCTTTCATTTCCACAAACACTGTACAACATTCGCAGGTAAGTTAATTAACATTAAATAAGTTGCCATTTAATTCTGTATATTTAATGGTTTCCTCACTTGAGAAATAAATGTAATGCTTGAAGTAGCCTAGCCTCTTTCAGCCAGGTGCTGTCCTGATAATGCAGTAAAAGGTTTTTTCTGGTCAATTTTGAGAATCTGACTGGTTTCTTTTCCATGTTTGTAACTCCTCTTCCTTTTCCTTTCACTTCCCATTCACCAGCCAGTCTCATACTGGCCCTGCACAGTAAATTGAAGAAAGCTCTGTAGTTATAAACACTCCATTTTATTTTCAGTCAAATGTGCTTTGTAACTTCTACCTGCGATAGGTAAAATTCTGTAGCTGATCATCCTGCGCTCCATGAAGTACTTTATTGTCTTCCAGATCTTTCTGTAAAAGTGTGCAGATAATTGCCATCAGATACAGGCTAGGCAGGTGGCAAGCTGTGATTCCATCTAAGAGTTGGCTTGCTGCACCTAGGAATTTTATACATGGTTAGTTTATACTCCAGTGGCCTATTTTTATTAGTGCTGCCTGCCTTCCTCTGGTATTTGCTAGCTCATTTCACTCATCTGTCACATCAGGTCTCTTAGGTCCTAAGTGTCTTGGAGGAGGGACTGTCACTGCCTGTCTTCAGGAATTACTGGAAATTAACATTTTGGAGAAACTATAAGACAATAACGCATTGTTCCTACACAGCACTTCCCATGTCACAGCATTTTGTGTAGTTAATAAAAGCATGAATAGCCCTGAGTGTGGGGCAGGAAAGGCTGAGGACCCACGGAAAGGCTTTGGGGCAGGGTGCTGGGAGCAGCAGTGGGAGGGGGCTGGGGACCAGTGGTGCAAGGGACTCCGGTTCGGGGAAGACTGGGAGAAGGAGGAAAGCACCTTGGACATGTCAGTCCCTGGCAGTAGCAGCATTTGGCCTGATGCACATTTAGTTTTTGCTGTCTTTCCTCTTATGTCAGGACTTTTGTTTAGCATTTTCCTTTTCGAGTCATCATTCCCCATAGTTTCTCCCAGGCCTTCCAGTGGGTTTATCATTCCTCTGAAAGGAAGAGCACAGCAATTCTAAACATCCAGTCAGGGTTGCTTGCAGGATGCACACACAAGCTATTTGGTGATGAGGAATTTGAGTTTTCCAATAATCTCCTTTCTTTCTTCTTCCTGCTGCCTGTTCTCAGTTGTTATATTATCAGAATAGTCTTTTTTGGAATGAGAAAGATATTTATTGGAGTTTGGTCTAGCTGTTTCTATAAATACAAATATTCAGAGGTTTTGAACAGGATATTTCCCAGTATGCTTCAAACACATAATCGCTCTTCTGAACTATTGGCATGAAGAAATGGTTTAATGTTAGTGAACTTTAGTAAATTAAACTTCCTACTCCTTATAGAACCTCTCAGTGAGTTTTGCCTGAGTGAGAAAGATGCAAGAGGATAGATGCAAAAGCTCTTGATCTTACAGTTACTTTTTTCCTATGTGACAGATGATACAGTCATTTAGTACCTTTAATAGTGCTACCTTTAAAAGACAGCTTAAAATGTCCAGGAAAACACAATGTGTAATTAATTTTCCTGTATTCTTGTTAGCAAAAAAAGCCTTCCCTTTAGGCTGTACTTTGGAAACATAAATTGTCTAGCAGCCTCACCTCTAGATCTAAACAACGGGGATGCCTACCGGCCATGCGCTGACTGTGTTGCCACTGAAAACATGGGCCGTATTGTCTGAAGTCATTTCATGCCTCATGTCAGAAGTTTCATCCTCTAGAAAATAGATATTTTTAATTCACTGCAAGTCTGAATGCTGTACATTTGGATAGCGGGTACAACAGCAGAGCTACTGCAGCTCACTTTGTGTGTAATGATGAGCTGGTGAAGCTGACCAGAAGCTATCTGAATAACACTATATCATTTTATCCCAGAGATAAATGTTACTTGGGTATCCTACAATTTCTCATAGAGTATCTGGATATCTAGCACATTTGCACAGGTCGTTGTGTTGCAAGGTGAATTCTTGGGTTGAGTTTTGGCTAGTTTCAGGTTACTGTGAATAGAATCGATAAATTTTGTTACTCCATAAAATGATTGTATTTATTTACAGAGCACATTTAAAGAAAACACTGAAGAATGATTCTTTGTATGAAGGACTCCTACCTCTTGTGTCACCTCTGTTGCTGTTCATTCTTCTTACAGTCTGGGTGGTTTTATCTCCAGGCAACATATTAACAAAACAACCAAGACTGTTTTTATGGATGGTTGGGGTTGCTTTCTCAAACGTTATTGTAAGTATGTTTGTGGTGGTGGTATTATTTAGAGACAGCTTTCTATTTTTATGTCAATAACCAGAAGGGAACAGAAACTGTAGTTAAAACTCAGCAGAATCACACCACTCTTGTACCTCTGTGTTACCCTCTCTTGTATAAAAATACACCACACCAGTTGTCTGGACGCTTATAGTACTGCAATACCTACTCTACCACAGCATAACATTTTTATGAGGGTTCTTGTTTCTCTGGGGAGTTTATGAACAGCCCTGGGGAGGCCTTACTTCCAGAAATATAATAGATATTCCCCAACACATAAACAGAACTGGGGACTTGTCCAAAGTAAAAGAAAGCTCAACACAAGGGGTTGTAGCCTTCACCTGCTGTTGTCCCCATTAGTGTGATACATGCCTTCCTGCATCCTACAGCTCAACTGATCCCGCATTTTCCCATCACTGTTCAGAGTAAGTGTTTTTTGGGGAAAAATATAAAGAGGTGCAGGGGCCTTCCAATGGCGTTCTGCCCACCGGTTAGTTTCTCCTGTACCACATTATTCTGTTAATTTCCCCCTTTTAATGCCTGTGAGACAACATAAACCTAGGTGAAGTAATAGCAAGGGCATCCAGACAGTAATGCCGAGAACTGCCGTTAACCCAGGGCTGTCTGCTCTGGAGGCAGCCCTTTGCCTCTCTTCTTGCTGGGAGAGAGGTAAGTGAGCTGCAGCCAAGGAGAAAGGTGTTCCTCCACGTAATGCTAAAATATCCCAAAGGATAGTGCCGATCGTCATTTTAGGAAGATAGTCTCCAACACCATCTAAAATCATGCCAGTAAGCAATATTGCATCCAGTTTAAAAAGAGAAAGTCTTCCAGTGACTTGCATCATGAGAGAGGTCTTTGAAAATGTGAGATTTTAAAAGACAAAGCATAACCCTGCTAGAAATTTGTATTCGGGAACAGAAAATAAATCATAATTGTGACGCTTGTTAGATGTATCCTATAAATGTACGTTTCTGAGGGTCACAGTTCAAACAGTTCCATTGCAAGGACTTAATCTCACTAAATTAGGTTATTTTCCGACATATAATTTTTATTGTATGCATTCTCCATTATCTAATCTATCCCTTTTTCTTAAGAGAATAATGTAGATTCCTGAATGAGAAATACAATTATTTCATACCACTGGGGAAAGTGCTTTCAGAGTTTGGCAGATGGCAGGTTCAGCACATAGGTCTTAACCATCCGAGAGCAATTGTGGCAGGATGCTTGCAGAAGAAAAATAGTATGGCAAACCAGAAGTTTCTTTCTTTCAATGCGTTTTCTTTAGGCCTTGTTTTTTCTTTTACCAAAACACCTACTGCAATGTTAGAGGCTTGCATGAATTAAAAATGCGTGCACATTAGTTGAAATTTTTAACATTTTAAAAGCAAGCATTAAAGGGGATGGAAGGGCACAGGGCATAATCCCACAGTGATCCCTTTCCTTTCCAGTCTGCCTCTCCAGACTCCAGCGCCTTCATCTCCTAATGCTGTTTTTGCCTCACTTGTAGCGTGAGTCAGTGCTTCAGGACCAGGGGAATAAGGAATTGAGGGAGGAGTGCAGAGCATAGTCCATTTTGCAGTCCTGTCGTATGCTGAAGGTGACTTGCTCCCAATATTAGTAAGCAATCTTTATGGACAATTACTGTACCTAACATGGTGTAATAGTGGTTTAAAACAATGTGAAATCCAACCTCTGGATGGGTGCAATTATTCAGCCAGAAAAAACTATAGCATATAGGTTGCTTTAGCAATTTCTGATACCCTCTGGAACAATTCCCAAAGAACTCATAAAACTAGTGTTATTCAAAAACGTCATATTCAATACTGATAATGCATTGTAAGGAAAAACATTTACATTAGGTAAAAATGCTTACTTCTTGTGTTATTTAAAGTTAATTGTTTTTTCATGGTTTATTTTTTTCGTTCTTCAGCTTCCACAGCACAGACAGCAAAGCCAGTATTTTTTTCATATGGTCAGACTCCAACTGCTGCTGTCACAGCATTTCAGGCACTGCACAGGGAACAAATTTTTCATTCTTCTACTATTTTCAGGATGTATAAAATCTATTTTTAACTACATTTAAATTTTGATAGAAACTTATATTGAAAAAATATTTCAGATGTGCCTAAATTCCTCTTTCTAAAAAAAGAGAATAGTGTATATGGGGCACATTTCTTAAGGAGTCTAAACCAGGTAAAACTCTTAGGCGTGCTTAACTGGTCTTAAAAAGCTGAACTTCAACTGAGTTCATCTCATTACATTTCAAGAACTCACTAAAATTAAGCTAACGGTTTGCAGTTAAACCATGTACCATATATTCATTTTTTTTCTGACATTCTGAGTGGGATCCCTTTCTCTGGGCCCCCAGGTACGTCTCCAGGGTGTCACTGCCATGATTGAGCCAAAAAAATGGTGTTTTAGTGCACGAGGGAGTGCTAGAAAAGAAAAACAGGATTTAAAAGCAGCATATATTATCTTCCCTACCTTCTATACAGTGAACCAGAATATATTTCTGTCGTGCCACGCGACTAAAACACCAGTGCGCTCTCCCAGTGATGAAGTGGTGGCACATTTGATTTGGGATCACAACTTTATGAACCTGTGTGAAAGCATGAGGTTTGAAACAAACTCCCCTTTTGTGAAGATGTGTTTCAGCTCATAAAGCAAAATGTGTCGAAACACTGTCTCTGAAAAAGAAGTGTGTTTTTTAAATTACTTGTAATAGATTCCTTAAGACTCACAGCCTATAAGGCACAACGGTATGCCTGTAGTAGTCTTCTCACCAGAAACAAGCCCTGTTTTGAACCCTGGACTTGTTATCCCCTCATCAAAAGCAAATGGCAGAGCAAAAGGATGTACTTTTGCCTTGGGCTGACTCAGTGCTTCTCACCTGGTGCCTTTTGCTCCGACAGTGCAAGGTGATCGTCTGCCAGATGAGCAGCACCCGACCGGAGCTGTTCCACTGGATCCTCTTCCCGCTGGCGCTGGTGGTCTACGCAGCCATCTCCGGGCTGCTGGGCTGGACAGAAGAAGCGGTGCTGGCCGTGTTCACTGCCCTGGTCACGGCCGCCCACCTGCACTACGGGGTCTGTGTGGTGAGTGGGCACCTCCAAAGCAGCCGTGGGAGAACTGCACTGGGGCAGGGAGGACAATGGGGTCTGGGATCAGGTTCTATGCTGGCTAGCTGGGGCAATGTCCAGGAGTCTGAATGTTCAGTTACGGTTTTTTTTTTTTTTTCTGTGTTTTGTTTTATTTAGACTATTTTTTTTTTTAAAGTCAGTTTACTGCAGGCAGTGCCTTTTTTGCACAAGCAGCAGCTTCAGTGACTTGAATTAATCCAGTGTAGCCGACTGGTTTCAGCTTTAAATCCATCACAATCAGAATATTTATGGACTGGTTTTATGTAGCAGTAGACCCATATGGTATGAATGTTCCTACCTCTTTTTTTTTTCCCTTTCCTCTTCCTGAGGTTACTTGACTGAAAAAATAGGAAGGTAAAATGGAAAGTGACATAAATAGAATTCATAACATAAGGTTAACTTTGCTTTGAATCTTTAAGCAAAATAACTGTCCCAACTTCTAATATTTTTTTGGCCCTCTGTTAGCATCTCCCAAGCTGGAGACATGAATGGTTTGCCCGTTCATTCAGTCTTACCCTGCATTTTTGTGTCTGCTAGATATCAGTTTTGTCATTTATTGTCATCTGAATTACTGCTTAAATCATTTCTCCTCAGCTAATGTCCTCTCTTCTAAGGAGTATTGTCAAATAATCCTCAGGAAAGTGTCTTAATTTGGGGTTGCTTTTAGATAAAACACCTTTCATGGCAAAGATCTCATTCCGTAGCGAGTTGGTTAGCATTATTTTATTTAAGGTACACCATTGGGATGTGGATGTTTCTTTGAATGAAGCCTTTTGTCAGCAGACATTGGCATCATAGTAGATATTACCCCAGCACTGATACAGGTCAGTCGGTGGAGGTCAGAATGGAAATACCTGGTCAAAATTCACTATTGACAGAGGGGTCCAGCTCCATCACAGTTTATGTCACCTGTGAATCTGGTCTGTAGCGATTTCACTTCACATCAGTGTGCTGCAAGAGGAATGTGAAGACCACAGCTCTCTTGCTTGAACACTTGTAGGTCCCCCTGTACTCGTAGGTCCCCAAGGACACAAGGACTGTGGTTGGGTCCTCCCCACTCGGAGCAGGAGAAGAGAGAGGGTTAATTGTGAAGTACGTACAAAACTGGTTGCTAATCTTCATGATTTCTCTTTAGGGGAGGCAGCTGAGTGAGCACTTCAACATTTACATCTTTTCCCTGAAGAAACGTGTCCAAGAGTGAACACCTGCACTACGATCAGACTGTTATCACTTGACATGGAGATTTGCGACTCTTCTGATGTGATAAATATTTGGAATTAATCTGATTAAAATAACCAAAGAATAGAATAGTCCAGATATCTGAACCACTGCGACAATGAGCTATGCAGCAAGATGCTTCATCTCAGAGGAAGGTTCCCGTCCCACAGAGAAGTGTTTACCAAGTTGTCCTGCTGCTAGTATTTATTCTCTTTGCTAATGCTGTGTTACTACTCTCTCTGAAGCTTTTGTCTTCCTCCTCCTCGCCACTGTGACCAAAGTCCTGGATAAATCCATTACAGGTTACATGAGATGGTTTATAACCAGTAGTGGTTTTGCCCTGCTTAGTCACCAGTGGAACCTCACCAATGCAAACCTTCCCTGCACATCCTTCCCACTCAGACACCTGTGCCTGCTTCATTTTCCATATTTATTTTCTCAGAACTCATTTCTTCCATGCAACCTCCTGAAGGGCTTATGCACATTCAGTGTTTTCCTCACCTCAAATGAATGTGTGAAGAAAAGAGAATGAGCTCAGAAAGCTATGGGTACAGTAAAGTGTTTTTGAAAGTTATGATTTTTTTTTCCCCAGCATTAAGGTGAGTCTCAGCTGACCTGTATCTGTCAGAAACACAGGCTCCCTGCAGCAGCAGCTGGCCTTTATACTTATTTTCTGGGCACTACCAAGTGCTTTGTTAATACTTCGGTAAGAACAAGCAGTATACCCTACAAAGGTAACCAGCTGAGAATAAATCTGGCCAACAAACCTTTCAAGATTCTCACATTTCACTGCAAAACTAGTTAGTCAAACCTCATCTATGAATGTGAAATGCTAAGCAGATAATTATTTGCCTGTGTGCTTGAAACAAACAGTTGTGGTTTTAGATAATGACGAAAAAAACCTGAGACAAGAAAAACTATTTTTTTTTTTCAGTCATTACATGTTTGCATGCAGGTGTAAACTGCTCACTTCATCTATAATATATGTAGGTTTTCTGCATGCCTTGGAGGAAGGAGTAAGAATTTGCGTTTCATCTCTTTTCATACGCTGCCCTAGCCAGGGGGACTTTGTGGCCTTGAAGCACTAATGAAACAATCGGTCCACTTTACCCAAGGTAAGATTTGTATTACATTTCCTGCACAGAGGGATGTGAATGACTGACTGGCATGTTTATTATCTAGTTAACTATCTTGCTAGCCAGAAGCTGGGCAGAAGTGTAGTTGTTGAGCTGCTGAGCCTTAGGTTCACCTTTTCCAGTTCTTAGACCATTTCTCTGGCTTTATCATTGGCCTGATCATTTCTTTTCCCAGCTAACCTACCCTTACAGCAGTAGCTCCTATTAATATTTTCAGCCGAGCATCCACTAGTCATATCTTCATGACCAGCTTCAATTTAAGTTTGTACAGTCTATTACAATAATTAATCTACCACAATGTTAACAGGGAACATTTCCTCTGGCACGCCTCACCGTAGGTACCAGGGGACAAGCCTGTACATCAGCTTCCTCTCTTCACAACCCACACTGAGGGTGGTGAGGCACTGGAACAGGTTGCCCAGAGAAGCTGTGGATGCCCCATCCCTGGAGGGGTTCAAGGCCAGGCTGGATGAGGCTTTGAGTAACCTGGGCTAGTGGAGGGTGTCCCTGCCCATGGCAGGGGGGTTGGAACTCGATGATCTCTAAGGTCCCTTCCAAACCAAACCATTCTATGATTCTATGAAGTATCTTATGGTTTGAAAGTATGCATGGTCCACTTACCAAACAAGCATGTTGAGCATCCTGCCCCTCAAATGAACATTATTCTACAATCACAGTTCAAGCAGCTTGAAGCTCAAGTTAGGTAGAGGACACAGGTCATCCTGTTAATGCTGGTTTGCAGATTTTGCCAAGGGCCCTGCAGGGAAGGGAGGCTCCTGCATCCTCCAGCACTGCTGCGGTCCAGCTGCAGCCCTGGAGCTGGAGCAATGAGAGGCATCTTCCAGCCTTCCTCCCATAGGCAGGGTGGCTGTGCCCCTGCCCTGCATGATGTCCAGGGAGTGTGTGGGGTTTCCACTGAGGTGCTCCCAAACTGCCTGAGGACTCTCTTTCTTAGAATAAGGCTGATGGCTGTTTGTTTAATGAGGGATGTGAAGAAAAGGCAGTTTGGACTGTGTTTGAAGGGGAAGGACAAGTTTCATGTAGGCATGCACCCAGCAATCTCACTGCTTGATGAAGTTAATACCAGATACACTGCCACAAAAGTCTCATGTATTTCAACAGTTTATATTTAACCTGTCCATCAAAATTATCTGGAGAAAGTCCTAATGAGAAAATAATTGGAATAAAATACACAATAATACCTCTGGATTGAATGTGGTTGTACTGGAGGATCTCTGCGGACAGGCTTCCCTTTTCCCTCTGCCTTGCACTTAATTTATGAAACAGTTGAAAATAAGGGTGACAGTAACAGCACAATTCGATGCACTGTAATGGAGTATTTTGAAATATTTCATTAAATGAAACTATAAAAGTTGAACTGCCACAACTTGGCTGCACTTGTACCTTTCTAAGGAGGAATACAGTATCGCTTTTAAAGGAAATTAAGATCTGTTCAGCTTTTTCACATTCTATATCAAGACATGGCAAATAACATTCTTTTTCCTTTTTAAAACAACTTGTCACTACAACCTCTATAAAGACAAGTATAAAAACAGATCATGTATTGCACAGTATATATATTGAGTTGTTAGACATCTTCGATGGTAACTGGTTCAATGAACAGGAATAAAAATGCTTTGTTCAGAGGGTGGTATGGTCACAGATTTATTTTGCAAAGTCAGGTAACGGTATGAAGATGACCTAACAGTCTAACAACACCTTTTTTTTTGGTCACAGCATTGTGGCAGAACAATTTCAACTATTTGAACTGAAAAACATATTACTTCTTTTTTAAGCTGTTGAGCATTTTGCACTAGCCCAAATACATGCCTCCCACCTAGTCTTATGAGAATCAACTAAACTAGCACTGCTCTCCCCAGTTTGAGTGCTCAAGTGGGAAATCGTCTCCTCTGGTCCTGGCTTCATCCTCCCCCCCTCTACCAGAAAGCCTCAGACCCAGAAATACCCGAAGGCAGTGGGAGGGCTCAGGCTGACCTATTGGTGCTGGAACACAACCAGGTAGCTTCAACCCATGTCAGAAAAAGGTTCTGACCCAGGGACCTCTGGAGATTGAGCTGCATCTACTGCAGCAACATTGCTCATGCTGCAAAAGATCACAGAAATGAGAATTACAAAGAAGTTTTCCCCTTTTCTTCCAAAACCATAATATTTTAATCTAAAATGTAAGTAGCTTTTAGGTACTGCACCAAAGATTCACCCCGGAATACTTGGCCATTACAAGAAAAGTCCACTGGGAGCTTCAATGCCCTTGCTACAGTGCTCTCTTCACCTCCTGGCTGCTGTGAGTTTTGCTGTATCAAAACTGAGACACAACATGAGTTTTAGTACTCTGAAATCAGAAAGCATTTACCATAAAGGAGAATGTTCTGTTTACATGCACATACATTCATGCTTTTTCTTTTTTGATTTGTAGAGGGGGATATAGTTGCCGAGCTCTTGGGGAAACAGATACTAACTACACACACAAGTGAATTTTTTTTTTTAAAGCAGCTGCCTTTTTCTTCCTGCTCCCATATGCAGTCACTAATGAAACAAAAATATGTATTTAAACCAGAAAAGTACTATTTTAAAGTATTTTGAATAGTTTCTAGAGCTAGACAGATTTTAACATAGTTTTTTTTATTAAATATGTAAAAAGATAAACGCAAGTCAAGTTATTCACATATTCAGACAAAAATCTACTCTACCATGCGACAATTTGTAGATAATGTAAAATGACTGATACATCTGAATAAGACTTTGTATCTATTATGCCATTACTTATCTATTTATAATTAACAATACATATGTTTACATTCCTTTCAGTTTACATTTAATATATAACCAAAGCTTTATGGTGTGCTATTTAGTAAAGGTAATTACAAATACATATTAAAACCATAATGGAAGAATGGGTTACTCACCGGGGTAGGGGATGAGGACAACTTTTTTCCCCTTTCAGAGCATCGCTCTCCCCTCAGCACAGCCAAATTTCTAGTGCCCAAGAGGTACCTTACTGCCCTGGCTCCCTACATCACTCACTTCCCCCTTGATACAAGCAGTGAGAGGGCTATGCCCTCAGACCAGAAATAGGATATAAGGAATTTTCAGGAAATTAAGTTCAGCTTTTTATAATTTTTTTTAATATGTGCTTCAAAGAGAAGAAAGGAGAGAGGCACAACAGCCTGGCTATGAACCCTCTGGGGACCTCAGCAACCCAACCATTTGCACTTTTAGAAAACCATTTTCTCTTGAAGTGCTCTCCATGAGTCTGCTCGAGTATTAGCAGGAGGACAAACTGCGGTAAGCAGAGACTGCTGCTGATGATGTTAAGTTTATAGCCTGATCCCAAACTCCTTGCCCCATCAGAAATCCCATACAGGTTAAAGGACATTCTGGAGACTGGAAAAAATTAGGAACTGCTCTTTGGTTCAACAGTATTATGAAGAACTACCGTTTATTACAATGACAATTGTAATAAGTACATATGTTCTAATAAACACAAATACAACAAAAATGACAATTCCCCCATTTGTGTCAATTCTCAGAAATACTCATTTTGGAATATACACATTTTTATAAACCAGACCTTACTTGTAACCAATTGAAATGGGAAAAGAAAGCACTGGCCTGCAGGTTGCAGCACTCTCACTTCATCATCAGGTAAGAAGTGAGGTCAATGCTGAAAGCAGAGATGGAAAACCTTCAGCCCGCAGGGTCCAGAAACTCTTCTGCTGAGCACGGGGAGTGATCAAGGAACTGGAAATACCTGTTCTAATACTTAACAGTATTTTATATATTGTCTGTGGTGCAACACAACAGCAGGGATCTCACATTTAACTAAGAGCCACTTAGCTGCAAAAGATCAACTAGGAACAGAAAACTGCACATGCATGTGTGTGTCTGCTGGGTGTTGATCAGCTGAAAACCTTTCTATGGAAGCGTAAGCTGGGAACTTATGCTTTAGGAGCTCACGAAAGTCTAAGATGATTTAGCTGTTCAATAATCTTTTGAGTTTTTCAGTGACTGCTGATTGGGATGGGACTTCCATGTACCTGCTAAATCAGCATCATAACAGTCCAGAATTAAGAAAAATCAAGAGAGACACCAAGAAAACCAAGCATTAAATATTCAGAGAGACTACAATGCACATTTTTTTTTACGATAAAAATAAGGAATGCTTTATACACTTCAAGATACCTCTGTTTATAAAATACCATCATTTAGAACAGGGCGATGGGACCGCACTAGAAGGGAACGCTCTTGCTGCAGACATCTCCAGGGCACATGTGGTTCTGCACTGTGCCAGCCTCACCAGAGGAAGGTCAGCCAAGTGCAGAACCGGCTCTGTGCCCCTCGGTCCCCTCTCATGCATGCTCTGTCTCCAGACAGACTCCTCACTGCCTCTCTGCATCAACACCCACGAGTTGGTCATCACCTGCTTAAAGGGAGTTTGGGGCTTTTCAGGGCTAGTGCTGCTGCGGGTTTTCCCCCATGCTTTGCACTAGTGAGAAAATTTTCCATCTTCCATACTTGCATGGCCAGGGCAGTAGAGCGGGGAACCACAGTGAAAAGAACAGGCTGGCCTATTTAGTCCTCTTGTGAGGGTGGGAAGCCATCAGAGATCATGTCCTGCAGCCACGCTCCTGTCAAGGAGATTTCTCTCCTCCATCAGCACTGAGCTCTGCAGAGGCAGAGCTGCAGCTGGAGACTGGGACTGGATTCCTGAGGAAGAAAGAAAACCTGGGAAATGTCTATTGACTAGTCAGGAAACTGGGAGGGTTTTCAAGAAACTTAAGTGGATGTCTGTTCCTCCAGAAATAAGTCAAAAAACATACCATGCAGCTTTCTAACAAGCTTTCTAACACAGGGTTTTCAATCTCTCCTAGTGAAACAGATGCTCTGCCTTCCATTTTGTGAAGGCAGGAAAAGAATAAACGTGAGCAACACGAGCAAACACACCTCATCATTATGGCTTGAGTATGACTTCCACTGTATTCCTTTATTCCAATTGTTTGACTGAATTTATGCCCCAAGGCAGATGTACTAGAAAACGCAAAAGCACCACAAAGTGAGAGACACAGCTAGTGGTACGGTACTTCTTGCCACACGAAATGCCAATATAAATATGTTAGAACAAGTTACAAGTGTATCATACTTAAGACAAAAAAAGAAAAAAAAAATAAATACATATTTTTTTTTTTTTTAAAGAGCAGAACAAATCTCAAGCAGCCAAGTGGTGAAGTTGCAGTGATGTACAGTAGGTGACGTAGCCCTACAACCTCTTGGGAAGATACATTGAAAGAAGATGTCTGCAAATGCATCTTGGCAAAGTATGGGTACAGAATGCAGTGGTTGGCTGGCACTCACTATGGTACATAAATGTTAATGGCAGACTGGGAGTGAACTGGTTTCAAGTTTGAGGCCGCACATGTTCCATTCTCCAGAAGAAAGTTCTCACACAAAATGAAAATTGTCAGAGCCGCTGGGCGAGTCAGTACTCCTCCTGCTGCTGGGGCTGTTCATGGACTTGCTCTTCACCTTCATGCTCTTCTGTGTGGCTCTCCTGCAGGGAGAAAAAGACCCCAAAACATTCTTCAGCAGAAAGCATCTCTCATGGAATCCTGCCGCCCCACAATGCTCGCCGCAGCCTGCAGCTTAACTTCTAATTTTCATGCACATAAGTACAAAATGAGCTGTAACTTGAGAAAAGCAGCATCTTGTAAGATTACAATAAAATGTATTTACTTTGCTTTTCATCAATGCATGTGCAGTACTAATACTTCTCCAGAAAAATGTCAGTTTTCAGCGTCACTGAGCGTTAGCTGTTCCAGTAAGTGAACATTTTGAATAGCTAGACAGTGAGATGCTGAACAGTTAGATGCTGTATCCTGAGGTCCTCCTGTTTTCAGTTTGTCCACGGATTTCTGAACCTGTCTGCTATAGTTTTCACACAATCTTCAGTCTAGGTTTATATCACTAAATGGACAAGACACTTTTGCTATCACCTGCTTTAAAAATTTAACTCATCCTCCTTTTGGCAGTCAGATATACTACTTTCCCAAAATAATATATTGAAGCTAGACCAGAGTTCAAAGGTTACCAAACCAGTAATTTTAGTGGTATCCAGAAAATATAACCAAAGACTTGCGAACACATTTTCTTTAAAAAAAAATGAGCCCAGTATTCACTGATTTACAGAGCTACTGTTAAAAGCACTAATAAACACTTCCCTTTTGCTAACGGTTGTGATGCTCAGTATTTTCCAGAGCTGTCTCTCTGAATACTGCCACTGCGAGAAGAATCCTTGAGCGGAAGGAAGGGTGGATCCTCACTGCAGGTGATAACAGTTTTAAACAATTTCCAATTTAGGAAACACCACATCTGGTGTCATGAGTTGGCCTGGATGTATCAGAGCTCAAAAAGTCTGGCTGACTCTTCAGGCATTACTTCTACATTCCCATTAAGCGCAGCTGCATTTACAGCTTTTCTCTCAAGTGGCTTCCATCTTCCAGAGCATAGTTCACTGAAAAGATCCCACACTCTCTGCCCTGCATTAGTAGCGCTCTGCTGCAGGCAGCTCCAAAGGAAAACACTTTTCCAAGAGACTGGGGGGCCATTCAAAACGCAGCATCCCTGACCCGGTATCTCTGCAGAACTCACCTGGCTCCTGGCAATTTTTGTTAGAAGCAAGTGTCTTGAACAGCAAACTTGTAACAAATCAGTACTGCTAACTTTTCAAATTTGAGGCAAAAATTAAAAGGGAGGCTATAATTTGAGTTTTCCCTAAATGGTTCAGAGCAGCTTATGCCAGAAGACAAGTCCCCTCTGGCAATAAAATATTCGTATTTCTAAAGGGCAAGAACAGAACAATAAGGTTTATAACATTTGCTGATACAATGGAAATATTTAGCAACTTATGGCCCCTTGCAGGGAACGATGCCCTTATTACGTACAGTAGGTACCTCACGTTAAAATAGCTTTCTGTGTAGTATCTAAAAATCACCACTTCTGTGATGGGCTGCAAGGGTGCAAGACTTGCAGAGAACAGGAGTTTCATAGAGAGAAGCTGACAGCTCTGAGAATGTGACCCTGCCTTATTGGGTGAGAAAACTGAAGCTTGTTTTGCCACAGCCAGCCATGTTCCCTTAACCCCATCTATCCTGACCCTCCTGACGTGTTGAGGTGACCTGCCCTGGAATGCACCTGTTCCATAGGCTTGATGTATGCAGCATTTATGAGACACACCTGTTAGAAAGCCCACTCGTGCAGATTTTATAGGTCACGTACATGCTACCCTTTCATGCATATAATAGGAAAAGCCTCTAACCACAGGGAGTGGCTTGGGAACCTGCTCGGCAGCTCTAAGGAAGAGTGGTGGTTCCCCTCTTGCCAGGCTTACCTTTGATGGAAATGGCAAGTCTTATGTGACTACCTCAGAAGTTGTTCTGAGACTCGGACACGTGCTTCTCAGTATGTACAGCTCATATAAACACATGAAATGGGAAAGACAAAAGTCACTATGCCCAATTACCTTGGGACTGTGGAATCTCCTTGAATAGCATCCCCTAATAAGGAAAGTAGCAGAAGGTCTATTTAGAACATTTATTTCTGGCTTGGATCACACGACCATGGCCACCTCTGTCTCCCATAATGAGAGGTGCTCTCCTTTGACCCTTCGATCCATCTGCCTCACCTCAAACTATCCAGGTGTGCCTGTAGACTGAAGACCTAGACTTTATGAAAAACAGCTGCTGGGGGTGGGTGCCTTTTCCAAAAGCAGCAGCAGATGTAGTAGCTGCTAGAGCAGAAAGATACAAAACCGACTGCGTTTCAAGCAATTGCTTTGGAAACTTGTGCTGAGCAACTGATAGATCAAACGGCAGCAAGGAACCAAGCTTTGCATGAACTGAACCAGAACAGCCTATGCAGGAAAGCAAAAGGTTTCCTTCATTTTTGCTTTATGCCAAGACCTACGTGGCTCTGTGTTTCATAACTAGACACAAAGCCTCTTCTGGTTCATCAGTCTGAAGCTCTCCTACTGTAAGACCATATGACCAAATGCTTTACATACTATCCAAGGTCTCAGTGCCGTCTACAGCAGTCATAGCATGAGTGCTATGTATCCTTTTTTAACAATTCTCTCTCAACTTTGATGTTTTGATGAAGAAGTAGGGTTATAAATGAGCAGTTTGTAATTAAAAATTGCAAAGGATTACAGACCGATCAGCCAAATGTTAAATGACACTGCCAGAGACAATATCCCTCTTGCATAAACAGAGACGTAATGATGAGGTTTAAAACAAAACCATACAGGGAAGAGAAAAGTGAGCCTCTGAAAACAAGGAACCCAAATGGATTGATGATTTGTGCTGCAAGACTCAAAGCCTCACCAAAATCAAGACCAAAGAAAAATATTATAGTAATAAAAATCAGTCTTAAAAATTTAGCCTTTATTGAATTAAACAAAACAGCAGCTTATGAAATGACATGGTTGAGACTACATTATAACTTTGAATTCTCAAAAAATAATTAACTTCCCCCACCATGACATGAACCTGATAAAAATCTCTTCAGTGCAATACTACAATAATCAAACCTCTGTAAGAATGCTTCTCATAGGGACTATACTTGCATTCTGAATCATTCTACAGAATGAATTCTACAGAATTCACCTGACAGCCTCGTATGCTAAAGGGGACTATGAGGTACTGGGAGTTACGACCACTTTGTGCTGTCCAGATTTTTTTTTTCTTATTTTTTCTTTTAGGAGGATTAAATTAAGTGTAACATAAATTAACTATAAAGGGATACTTGTCCCTTCTGAATAAAAACAGTATGACAAATGATCATGATCTCTATTCCACGTTGAATACAGTAAGTGCCTGTCAAATTACAGCTAGGAAAGAAAAGTTTGAGGCTGCTATCAAACAGTTATTGGAAGTATGAACTGAAGACAAATTTAAGTTAGTCACGATATTCAAGCACAAGGCTTTGGTCAGGGATCAATTGTGCAGTATGTGTGAGCTGCTTTAATTCCTGAAGAAAAGCCTCATTGCCACAGTATCATTTATGACTGTCACAAATCCTGAAAATTAATGTAATCCTTTTTTTTCCACTTTGCCTCTGTATACTTGAGACACTCTGAAACAGAGATTAAAAAAAAAAAAAAAATCTAAGCTGGATTTGCAATGAACTCATTAGCAAGAAACTAGGAATGCTGGAGTTGCCTGTGCCTTGGGAATTGGGGCTATTTCCCATCAGGGGACTGGGAAAGCCAAGCTGCTGTTACCAGGGGATTAACCTGCAAAATGCTGCGAGACATAGAATTTAACTTCAGACAAATTAATTACAGTGAGACAGCAAAGTCTGAAAACAAAAAGTAGGCAGGATCTGCATCAACAAGGGAACCCCAGTCTTTGGTTTAGTGCTAATGCATTGAAGTCTTTCCTCAGCAAATTGCAGTCTATCTGCTAAACTGAGGAGGAAATGCACCCCAGAAGATGAGGAGATCAAGCCTCCCACTAAAAGGTACTAAAAATCGCATGGGGAACAGCCTCTGCATTCTCCTCTGGGACAGCAGCGCTCTCCTGCTGGGGTGACATACCCTGCCTCCAACTGCAAACCCATGTCAGATAAAGGCACAGCCGTTGGGTGTAGTTCATGCACAGGCACGGATGATGCTTTTCACACAGAAGGGCTTGGAAGGAGGAAGCAGATAAAATACTGGGATGTGAGCTGAAGTAGAACATTTCGTAATGTGTTCTGCCAGTAAGGAAAACTGCAGGAAGAAAAGCAACAACTGCATTCCTTGGCGGGGAATCACTTGCTATTTAAGCCAACAGACAGACAGATGTGGTAGGGGTATGGGGAGAAGAGGGATTTTTCTGGCTTTGCTTTATAAATAAATCACTGTTCTTGAATCCAGAAGACATTTTCTCTGACCGCTATATATATGTAATTCTTTTAGCCTGTTATCACGTGCTTGGGAAATTTGCCTTATAGTTTATTCCTGTGAAAATAACGGTTTCCTCCTCCTCTTCCTCTCTAGCACTCACCCCACAGCATTGAACAAATCCTCTTTCCCCTTTCAGATCTGAGCAGCGGCCCCTGTTAGCAGCAAGCTCATGTCCCCCTTGCACCTAACTTTCATATATGCTCTACTAGTCTTTTCTAGAAAACCACGTGAATTAATAGTAGCTTTGGCACTACTTTTGATATAAAATTTTAAGTCAGCTGACTACTGCTGCAACAGCTTTCTGGGAACAGCTGTAAGACCAGCCTATGGTACTACGGTGCTGCAGGGAGATTAAGTGGATGCTTATACACTCTGGAGCCAAAGCCATCATCTGCTGGAGACTGAAGGGTCAATCATCAGTACAGTGCATACAAGGATTTAGTTAGCATGAATGGGAGTAGTTCAGCTAAATCTCCACTGCATCATTATCCCTGGATGTATCTGAGGAATTTAACCAGCACCCTTTGCAGCGTCTTCCTTTGTTCAGTGTCTACAGCGCTAAGTCTAAGATGCAATGAAATTCCTGCCTAATCTTGCAGACAAGACATTTCTGAAATGTTGGTAATAGAGGATTATTGGGTTTGCACAAGGAAGAATTTTGCCTATAGCAACAGGATAAAAAATGCTAAAGAGCATCATCTCAGCAGATATAATTATGTATTTGTCAACCTGCACCGTACATATTACAACACTGCCACATGGGCTAGAGAAGGTTCGCAGGTATAGACACTGAACAACACCTCTGTCAGCATTTCTGCTATTTTCAACACGCTAAAGAACATGAGTAAAAAGCTATGGAGAAAGGTGGAAGATGAAAAATCAAGACTAAGGCTCAGAATCATATGAAATAAATTTTAAATTGTGACACACCCCTTCCCCTTTCAGATCAACTTCAGCAAATGTAGAACACAAAACCTACACCGAAGTAGCGAAAAGCAACCAGCATCCTAAATCTCTTGCCCAAGCTGAAAAGTTTGTTGTTTACAAATGCAAACTTCATTTTGAGGGGAGGGGGCATGGAAATCCTACCTGCTATACTTCTGACCTAAACATAGGCCATGCACCAATACTGTGCCAATAAGTTTTTATGGAATTAAGCTATTTTGCCTCGATGAAAGACATTAAACTTGAACTTACGTGTTCGTCTGAAGCATAAAGGACTTCCATTAGCCGATTGACAAGGTCATTATTCTCTCCCCCGTGTTCTTGGCAGAGTAGTTCAATCTCCCTTAATTTGCCAAAGTAGAAATCCCTTTCCTTCTCCACGCCTTCAAGTGCAAGTTTTAATGAATGTACCTGCATTTAAACCAAAACAGGATGCATCAGTTGTCAGCTGCACCACAAACAAAACAAGCTCAGCTTAAAATTATGCGCACTGATATAATCCTAAATATATATATTTAATTTTATAGCTTAAAATGAAGGTTTTGGTTTTTTCGTTTTGGTTTTTTTTTTTTTTTTTTTTTTTTTGAAGCGCTAGACTGAACCTTACACAATAGAGAACAGTAACTCAGGCTTCCCCATTACATCTCTTGGATACATCTTAACCTTGATCCTTAAAGGTCAATTTTCTCAGTCTCTTCTATTTTGAAACCCAAAGCAGCAGTTCAGGAATCAGGGCTACTTAAGATTTGTCTTCTAACAAAGCTGCCAGAAATGTCATGTAATGGCAATTAATAAAACTTTCAGCTCAGTACTTGCATTATTTTGCTTGGATTAATGTGTAGTTGTTGGGAAACCTACGACATATCCTTGCCTAAAAATACATAGATCTAGCAGAACGGCTCACAAAGGGAAGCAGTCTAGTTAGGAAATTAAAAGGTCCTCTGGTTGTAAGTATGAGTACTGCTGTGCTTTTTTCACCTCTCCTCCTTTCTGCCTCCCCCTTGCCAAACTGCTGGAGACCTGCGGTGTTTTGGCACCCTGATGCTGCCGCAGCATGGAGCAACCAGGCTGCACCATGGACTTTCTGCTCTGATTGATGTGCTGGTTCTATCAACAAGTTCTCTCAAACGCCAAGTATCTTTTCCGATTGTAACCTTGCTCACAAGAGTCTTCAAGCTATACTATCAGTCTCAATTTCACCACGAGGACTGCTGCAGATCATTTATGGACAACATAGCTGTTAATGATTAGGCTTCATATAAACCATGACAGATGATGCAATACATTTTTTATACATCCATACATATATACACACACATATATATTTTTAAAAAGAAACAATTATGTTGAAGCATAACAGATAAACTGCTGTCCAGCAGGGTATACACAATCAGGATAACATTTAAGTGGCTCTCAAATTCGGAAGACAGCAGTGTAACAACCAACAGAAATAATCACAGATGAAGCTGTCTACAGTAAACACACGGACCCAAATCATATCCAAATTATAGCCACTAAGGCCTGCAATTATACAAATGCATTTTCTAAAGGAAACATGCTAAATAAATTAAATTGCATCAGACTAGATTTCAGTGAACTGATACAATTTAATAGAAAGTTCAGTGTTGGTAATTCTACTGCAAGCTAATTTATTTCCTTCAGTAGTAAAAACACCAGCAGAGTTCAAACAATGCTTTGACAAGGCACTAAATCCTATCAGTTCATTTTTCCGTGACTGCTGAGCTCGCAATGCCTTTTTCTGACCTTTGATTGTACACTCAGAGGTGTCAGACAGCAGAACTGACCTGTTACCGGGGCAGGGTCTCGGAGCATCTCATTCACGTACTAACCCATTTCTGACCCGCTGCCTGAGTGTGACACCCAAGTCTTCTCTTGACAGTTTGAATCTATGATTGATACAATGACCAGTCACCTTCAAATTAACTATTTATTCGTGAAAGTAGGAAGAACAAAATGGAACACAAGTTTACAATATTATGGTCTACAGATGAAGACCTCACATTTAAGACATGTCTTCTGGATCCGCAGCAGCATATTCCTTGAGAGGAACACCTGCATCCAGACAGAACAAGAATATAACTGCTTCCAGATCTCTTGCTCTGTGCTTGCTAGAGCTTGGGAAAGCAACAAACCGTAGCAGAAACATTGGCAGCTAATAGCTCAGACCATCTCCCCTTCTGACCTGTTTACTATGAAGGCATTCTCCTGATTTCATTCTATACATTCACAGTTTTAAGAAACAGAAACATTAAACTATGCATATATGCACACAGTTAATTAACTACAGTAAACACTGTTATAACCAAACCAGATAGTCTTCTCTTCAGTTACAGATCAGGTACTTGTCTGTGACACATTAATATGTTTTTCTTCAGGTAATTAGCACATCCATGTGCTACTTTTTCCTTCTATTAACATGCCAAAAGGCTAATCCTGCCTAAGGAACAGTGCACTAACTCCTATTGTACCCCTCTGCAATCCAGTTAACAGGTGCAAAGGCAACAGCTCCTACTGTTTGTTTTTTGGTTGTTTTTTTTTTTTTTCTCTGATGGTACTCATTGGTAGTATGGATACCCACTGGACAGCAGAGCCAGGATGGAGATTAAATACATGTTGTAGACACGCGGCCAAGATAGTGCTGCTTTCAGAAACTATGCATATAGTAGCATACAGTTAACGGTTCCTGGGACCATTCCCCATAGGTAAAGGTCCCTTCTCCATATGTAGTGGTCCCTGGTCTGCGTTGTCTCCTCAACTGCACTCAAACTCTTTGGGAGAGTACTAGCTGGCACAGACCAAAACCAGCAGGGACCACTTCAGCATTTTAATGCTATCGGTAATCAAGTTCCAGTGCCCAGTGACATTCCTTGGAAGTGTTTAATTTACTAGCAAAGACCAAGCCAATAGCTGAGACCATTTTAAGAGAAACTTTAAGATTGCTGGGAGCTGTTAAACTAGCAAATGTTACGGATGGTTTACGATTATTACAAATAGCACATTAAGCAGCCCTGTGGTAAAATATAGTGTATGGACAGCCCCACTACTTAAATTTTTCCACTACAAATTGCATGGGAATTCAGATGGTTCAATCTCCTTTAGCTGTTACCACCACGTAGGAATTTGATATCCACAGACACCATTCAACATTTCTTACTCATAATCAAGACAGAAAAGGGGCAAAAGTGGCTGCTGCCCTCATCTCCCTGGTTGCTGGAGAGTGGTAAAACATGGGCAATTTGTCTCTTCCAGCATGTTCAGAAAAACCTGGCTCAGAGCTGCTTGCAGCATAGCTTTTTTGGCTTCTGTTATATGCCCAGGGTGCACAAGTAACCATTAGTGGGATATGAAATACCAAATGCTGCCAGCATAAAAAAAAAAAAGAAAAGAAGCAGTCTTCCAGACCATTCTAGCTAGAAGAGGTTTCTTAAAAACTAGCTATTAAAACTCCAGCTTTCCAAATTCCCAAAATTTCTTCTCCTCTTTGGTGATGGGGGAAATAATCAGTTTTTCCCTCGGGGTAATCTGTATATAAAGGTTAAAGTTTTCACACATGGAACATGCTGGAATACATTAGCTGTGGATGTGATAGTGACTGCCTATTTTAGTAAAGATCAAATATTCAATGTTGCTCAGATCCCAACCATTTTCTGAACACATTCTGACTTCTGAGTACAAACGTCATGGTTTAAGTTGCATTGATCTGGTGTTTGAACTCCACTCTTACACTGATTAAAAAAAAGATAACATGAAAAATATATACATCCATTCCTTGTGCAACATTTAAAAACTTTTCTGTTATAGCAACAATCAAAAGCCCATTTGGAAGGCTGGTGGAGCCTGTTGGGCTCTCCGCTGCTCAGAATTATCCCCTGAATCTGCAGTATGCCATGTTTGGGATGCGGCTATCCATCCACCACCTCTAAGTGCATAACAGTAACCAAGAACTTGCAAACAGTGCCCCGACAAACTGAAATCTTTGTTGTTCAGGTCAATGAAAGCCTGAAACTGAAATGCCCTTAATTGTGGAAAATTATACTTGATCCAGAATAACGACTTCTTCCTGAATGCAGCTGCCAAACAGCTCAGCCTCTAAAATATGAGGTTTTTCCTTTCCATTTTCCCTCATCCAGGACAAATACAGGGATCAGGCCTCATTTACACCAGTGGCATTTACACTATTCTGACAGCACAGTCTTGAGCCAGATGCAGATATTTATTCACGCCCAGTGCAGACACTCTTGCATGTCCAGTAATGACAGAGTGGTCCAAAGCTCGATGGCAAAAATGAAAATTAAGCCCTTGCATTCCTAACATTAAAGAAATTCTGAAGCTTTGTTCATTATATTGCAGAACATTATTTATAATATAACTAAGTATTCTCACAAAAGTAGATCACATTTTTAAACGAAAAAGGTCTATTAGCTTAACACCTTCCTTCCAGAAAGCAGGGTGCAATGAGCTAGTCTCTATTCAGCTGCAAGTCTCCAACACCTTGGTATTACAAACAGGATTGCTTTCTCCACAAGGACACTTTAATGAGTCATTTCAAATTTGTAATAACCATGACCAAAGACACAATTGGGATTTTTCCTACCCAAGTGAAATAAAATCCAATAAAATTATCATCTTCAGTAACACTTACCTGTTGTTCCTAAGGTTACCTTTTAAAAATACTGGCAAACACCAGTCATCTCTGTCAGATGTTACTGTTAACAATAAATCACTTTTTTTTCTTCCCATCTGAGCTATTTCAGTCTTTTGTCCCTTCATAATTCTGGAGAGCGCCATTCAGCAGAAGGCAATATTAGATTTCATGCCTGCCTGTGACAACGGATGCATCTAATTTTATGCCTAAAGCAAATTTACCTGTTCACTGAGCTGTATGACTTGAGTTTCCAAATCTTTATCTGATTTGGATGCTGAGCTGCTTGGTGCAGCTTTTTTTGCTGAAGATGGGCGAGAAGGTGTTGATCCTGGTTTAGAAGCTGGACTGGATTTAGCAGCACCTGAAAAACACAATAATAAATAATAACTAAGATTTATCCCCATGATAAATACATTCCTATTAACCTGGTACTGAAACAAAAGTACTGGTTTTAGAGACAGCCATTTGCTCTGCTACTTCAAGGTGACAGTGGAGGCAGTTCCAGTGCTGCTACACCTTGGGAAACGAAAAACCACATTTCCTAGCAGTTTTACTTTGAGTTTGCTACTGAGAGTGAAGTAACTCTGAAATGAAAATAAATAAACATCAAACTACGAATATAAGGTTCCCTTAGCTCCCAGCAGCGTTCAGCTTTAAAAAAATATGCCATTGACAACCCATTCCCCCAGCCCAATATTTAGTGTACTTATCTATCTTCAGTTTCCCTGGAGAAAGACAGACTTGAAATAAACTCAGATAAACTGCCTCTGCGCTTTCCTCATTTTCAAATGTAAACCATCCCTGAAACAAGGGCATTGAAATTCAGACAGAGCACGCAGAATTAAATCCATCAGTGAACTCACAGTTGCCATAGTGACCAAGAGATGAGTTTTGATCTGCTTAGGTTTTGCTATTTGTTTTTAATTACTTGCACTGCAAATCTGCCAGAATACGGAACAACATCTTTACCAGGAAACCCGGCAAGTAACGAGTGCGCACGGGTACTCTCCTTCACAAAGCCTGAGGCACACAAATGCCCAAGCAGAGAAACATTTCTGTGAAAGGGTTTGCAATGCCTTCATCCGAACCTCACAGGCAGCAACTCACACCTTCCTCCGCCTCTCCACCTTTCCTCTCCTTGTCAGCTGTTTGATTTAGTCGCTCAGCCCTGGTATGCGAGCTCCCGGCTCACCTTGCCTCGGCTCCCACAAACACTGGACTCTGACTCAAAGCCTTTTCCTTATTCTTTTTATACATTTCAGATGCAGTGGACATACATCTGGTACAAAAACTGCTTGGGTTAAGATGACAGAACAGAAACCCAGCCATCTCTCCAACCCATTTGGTTTGATTTATTAAGCAGGCATGTGAACCAGGAGTCCAGCTCTGCAGCATCCACGTTTATCACTCTCTCTTACAAAGTGCAAAATACAGACATGCTGACAGGCTCCATGGCCATCCTCCACCATCAAATTTTTTCAGAGAAAGCCAGGATTCAGCAGGCACCCAGCTCCCAGCTGAGCTCCGAGCTTGCAGCTCCCCAGCCCCAGAGGGATTTGCCCCAGCTCTCTCAGCAGCCCCTTCCACTCCCTGCTCCTTCCATACGGCTACTTGATTTATGGCACACTACAAATTGTTCTAAATTGTCATTTCCACAATGTATCCCCAGTGTCAGACAACACTTTATTAAAGCAGCTCATTGTAAAACCAATGTTTTACAAAGGCGTCACTGGGAAGAAATCACAAGGAGGCAGGGAAAGGCAGGAGGGGGAGAGAAACAACTTGTAGGGCTGCTGCCCATACGGCCAAACCGTGGAGCTCACACGGTCTCACTGACCTAGAACTGCACACAGGGGTCCCCTGGAGGAGCTGGAAAGTGAAGGGAAAAGAGAGCAGCAATGGGTTATTTAATCAAGCTTGCTTAAGCTTCCCTGATTTAGTCACAGGCCTCTCTCTGTAACAAGCATCTCCTCCTGCCCCGAAGGATAACTCTGTATTAACTGGGTCATCTTATGCCAACAGACCACAAAAAAACAACTTGATAATTCAGTTAACTTGTGTAAACATTTCTGTGCAAGATGCCCATCCTCCTTTTCTATGCTCTTTAATATAAGACAGATAAGAAAAAAAAAATATATATATATGTTGGTTTTTTTAGAAATTGGTGACTCCAGTAGCTTCCGTGTCTAACTGCATACACAAACTCACCTCTACCAGATTTCACATACAGTACACAGACTTGGTAAAGTTGGGAAAATGCAATGTTGTGTACATGCCTGAAATTAAACTTCTTTTCACACCATACTTACATCAGCAAAGAATAAATAATTTATGGAAAAACATTTAAAATGCCAAGAGCTTTTGCTGCTATTTCTTTCTTTAGGCAGCTGCATAAACTTTAGCACCCTGCCTTCAACACTTTCCAGGTTCAGTCCGTATTTTGACTAACTAAAAGTCAGCTGCTTCAGAGCAGGATTGTTAAAATGCTCTCAAAGCCAGGAAAATAATTTGCATGTGGATTAGCAGAAGAAAACTAGTATCAAAATATGCAAAATAAACACACACATGAAATAACCACTTTGACTACAGCATGCTAGTTGGGTCTCAAGTTATTTAATTAATACTTTTATAACATGCAACTGCAACAATTACCTGTACAACATTTAAAATAATATCTACATATACTAAACCAAAGCATCAACATTTATTTCCGACTGTATTCTACACCTGCAAGACGCAGTTCAGGATATAGACTGAAAATTAGATGCTATAAAAACAAGCTATAAACCTTCAGATGTGAAACCTTGGCTGGTTGATTCAGCTTCCCACTCCACCAAGTACCCTTCTTCTACATGAAGGCAGCACTGGGCCTTCCCTAGGCAGCAAGCACCAGCACACAAGCATAGAAGCTGTTCAGCTCTGGTAGGGCAGCATCCCCTGACCTGTCAGTTCTTCACCATTTCTCCTGGGAGGTCATGGTGCGAGACATAAGCAAGGCACGTTGTGCAGCCATGGCATATTGCTCCCTTCCATACTCAACATCCCTGCCAGGCAAGCTGGTTTCTTTGTAGATGGGGGTACTGATCACAGAAAGCCAAATCATTAACTACACACCTCTGTTTAACCTGCAGAGAGAGTTAAGGACAGAGCAAGCACAAACATTGAATCCCCAGGTATTCTCTCTAATTTGCAGCTGAGGCACCCTCCCAGAGCACGCTGAGCACATCCCCACCGCCTGCGGACAGAGAGGGCTGGATAGCACCAATACACTGCATTACATTCTGCCCTCCTTTGAAAACAACAAAGCCTTTTGAATTTCCACAGCAAAGTGTTACTAAGCTTTGTAAAGTCAAGACAAATCAAAAGAAATCGACTTCTGCTCCACCGCTCAGGATCAGCTCCGAAATGAACACTAGATGCCAATTTCAGTAACACAGAAAAAAACCCCAGCTAAATAACCTGAGCATTTCAGACAGTATCAGCGACAACTTAATTGCAACAGAGAATGCCAAGGGTTTTCTAATTTAAAATTTCCTGGAGGGGAAAGAAAAAAAAAAAAGCTTTACTGCACTTTTATTCTGAAACATCAGTTTCCGAATCCGCTCAGAGGTAAGCCTCCCATTTCTAACAGAAGCTTAATTTCATAAAAGAATTAAAGGATGCTGGTTGGTAGAGTAGTGCAAAGTACTTGAGACTGCCAGATACCTAAATGCAGATGAAAGATCTTGGTAGACTTAATGACTTTGCTACTGAGCACCACAATGGCTTTGCAGTCAATTAGCGCAAGTGTGGAGTAACTCCTAACGCACTGCTTAGAGGGGCTATACACTCCAAGCAGTTTAAATTCCAGCAGGCTGGAGAGAGTCCAGCAAAGCGCCACAAAGATGCCTGAGGGCCTGGAGCACCTCACATACAAGGAAAGGCTGAGAGAGCAGGCATTGTTCAGCCTGGAGAAGAGAAGGTCCAGGTGATCTTGTCCGCACCTGAAAGCAGGGTGCTAAGATGACGGAGCCAGGCTTTTTTCAGTGGTGCCAAGTCAAAGGACAAGAGGCAGCAGGCACAAATTGAAATGCAAGAAATTCCATTTAAACAGAGGAAAAAACTTCTTGTCTGTGAGGGTAATCAAATACTGGAACAAGTTGCCCAGAGAGGCTGGGGAGTCTCCATCCTTGGAGATACTCAAAACCTGACTGGACATGGTCCTGGGCGACCAGCTCTAGGTGACCCTGGTTTGAGCAGAGGAACTGGACTGGACAATCTCAGAGGTGCCTTCCCACCTCCACTGTTCTGTGAGAACTTTTATTACAGCATGCCCTGATTTTAGGTCAATACAGGGTCCAATTGGAATTTTTTTTAAACAGTTTTACAGCTGCTTCAATTAGCACCTGGATAACTTTTTATACCTGCCCATATAACACTAGCAGAGACTGGAAAAATAAATTCACAGTTGAAAGACAAATTATTTTGTTCTTGTCCTGAAATAAGTTAGATGAACCAGCTTTGAAATGCGTCACAGTTTTCTATCTGTGGTGCTCCAGAAACCATTACTAGTCAGTCTCATCATAATTAAATATATCCCCTCCAGTTTCAGCTTTACTATTATTTTTGCTAAAGACATAAGTTTTACAAACAGATGTACACTTCTAAAATTTAAAGCATTGGATGTTGGCACTGTGCAGGTTTTGGGTACAGCAAATTGTTGTTGCTGTGAATTCCAGGTCCCTTTACATCACAAGTGCAGTCTTGCAGACAAGAGACCTATTTATTGTCTAGAGAGAAATCTTCCTTGAAGCTATATGAGTGATTAGTATGCTGTTAAATATTTATGTAAAATTCCAAGGAAACGCATGCATGAATACAATGTGGACGTGTGTGAGGATGGCGTGGAGACCAATAGAAGCCCTGAGCAAGCATGAGACTTTGCTGAGCGCTCACAACCATGGCTTCAATGGAATTTGGGAATCACTCACAGTATATCTTCAGCCAAATTAAAGGACTTCATAAAGTGAATATTCCTGACTCACGCCACAGAAGAAAAAACAAACCCACCGAGAGGCCACAGAGCTAGCAATTTCTTCATGAGCTAAAGAAAAACTCTCCACCCACTTTAAACAAATGAGTGAGAACAGTAAATGAATTCATATTCACACATGCTTATTGTTGCAGCTACACTTGGATGCTAGAAACTGCTCAGTTTAGGGATGCTTAATGGCACAAGTGATGACAAATGATGCTTAATGGGAATTAAGTGACCTCAGCCAAAATCTGACTCTACTTTCAGCATCCCAATGTGCTGCAGTGCAGCCATCTAATTATTTTCTGGTATGAACTTCCCTGGAGTGGCAGGGCCCCTCTGTCCCC